CATGGATCTCCTCAAGTAGATTTGAGGCTACCATTGAAGTGTCTCTTAAATAAGAATAAATTATCTTTAAAAATCTTTACTTATATGATCTATGTATTTGAATTGTTATACATTTGTTTCCATTAAAACTTTAGCACTTACACGACATGACTTACTTATTTGTAAAATAGCGTATTCCATCTGTTATATTTACCAGAACCGATGCCTTGTTTTTGTACCCGAGCCCACCCTACCCCCCCTTGTCAATTTTAGGTTTGGACTCTTCTATTCAAAGCTTTTTTTTTTTTTTTTTAAATGGCAAAATTACTTAATAGTTCACTCAAAGGGGAACGTGGCGATTTTTGCGGCAAGCGGAAGCTTCAACGAATTTAGTGCTTTGGGTCCTTCTAACATGGGCGCTTTACCCCCCCTTGTCAATTTTAGGGTTGGGCTCTTTTTTTCTAAGCTTTTTTTTTTTTTTTTTTAAATGGCAAAATTACTTAATAGTTCACTCAAAGAGGAACGTGGCGATTTTTGCGGCAAGCGGAAGCTTCAACGAATTTAGTGCTTTGGTGCCTTCTAACATGGGCGCTTTTATTAGCTCTGTTTTTCAAGTAAAGCAAGCGTCTGTTTGTCAAAGATCCGAGACATTTAAAGGCATAATTCTAGCTCCTACCAGCGGCCAGCCCATCATGATCTCCCGGTGGTTCCTTAACTTCTCATGCTCTTCACATCGTCTCCCTGTGGTTCTATGACTTATCATTCTCTTCACATGTTCTCCCTGTGGTACTATGACTTATCATGCTCTTCACATGGTCTCCCTGTGGTTCTATGACTTCTAACGCTCTTCACATGGTCTCCCTGTGGTTCTATGACTCTCATGCTCTTCACATGGTCTTCCTGTGGTTCTATGACTTCTCTTCACATGATCTCCCTGAGGTTCTATGACTTCTCATGCTCCTCCAGGACTTTTAAATACCGCCAACTGATGAAGAACGCCTTTAAGACGTTTGCCTCGTTATTGTCCCACCAAACAACAGCAGCAGCATACGGCATTCTGCTATTCGTAATTCCCAGGCCATGTTCGGCCCATCATTTCTTTTTGGCAGCGTCTAGGAATAGACGTCCGTATTGAATCTTCGGGTTTTTTTTTGATTTGGGAAATGTGTCTTCTTTCACTTGGGCAGCTCCACGTTTTAAAATGTATTTACGTAAACCATCGTATATAATTCCTGGCCATGATGCAGGGTCAACTAAAGGGTACGACGTGGGTCTCATGGTTCAGACACACTGTCACTGTCAGAAACATGTGCAGTTTGCAGACAGAAATCCCAATCTAAGACCTGCACTTTCCATTCCATTGTAATAATAAAAAAAAAGTAGTTCCTTTTTTATTTTCTTCGCACCTACTCATTTCTTGTTATCCCCATCATCGTCTCCTAATAAGGCGACGCCTCCAGTCTTATTTCTGGCTTGTGAAGGCAATAGCAGATCAAAATACGGGGAGGCTTGAAATAGAAAGACAGGACAATAAAACATGAACGGTTCGGCTAAGAGCCTTCCTCGGCAGACAGAACAGACGAAGAAATAACAAAACATATAAAGTATTTAAAAAACTAAAGTTTTCGACATCAATTTTATGGCCGGAAGTTGGGTCTTGTGGCGCACTGGAACAAGTTCCGATGGAAAACAATTCAAATAAATTACAATTGTGTTTAGAAAGGCAAGCATCAGAGTTACTGTGATAAAAATAAAGCTACGTCAATTTCAGCTCGATTTAAAGACGTAGCTGGACATTGTGCCAAACTGGGTAGTCTTTAAGTTTACCCCCCCCCCTCCCATAGTAAATTATATTAGAAACTCCGTCGTCGACGAGGTAAAGGGCTGTTGACCCTCCAAATGTTGTACATGACAAATCTTCATCTTCTGTCACATCTTTGAATTCGACATATTATAAAAGAACGTGTTTTGAGCGTGGGGGAGGGTGGGGCAAGACACAATGTTACTATATAAAATTGAAACATATAATTTCTACATTACTGCCCACAACCAAACCTATGGACACAAAATTCTTTAAAAAAAAAAAAAATAATGTAACAAAAAATAAAAATAAAATATCTAAAAAAAACTTATTACGTCATAATGTTGTGTGTTCAATCCCTTCGTTTTCAAATAGACCATTAATATATTAAAAGAAAACGTATTATTTCAAAGGTCCAAACAGCAACAACACCTGACCTTGAATCTGTATTGTCTTATTCATAAGTTTGAGAACTAACTATAATCGATATGCTCAAATGACTGCTCCTCTTCAGTTTCTAACGAATTTCTATTATAATAGGTAACAAGCATAGGGGGGATTTCAAAATAAACTTTCGGTATTGAAATTAACATTAAAACTCTTGTCGAGATTATTGAACTTTCGTTTTTTCGTTTTTACTTAAATTATTTTATTTTAGCTTTTGTTCCATTTATTGACCAAAAAAAAAAAAAAAAAAAAAAAAAAAAAAAAAAAAAAAAATTTGTTGGGGTTTTTTTTGCAAATAGTTTGCAACTCAAGCAGAATCAAACGATTTTTTTTCTCTGTCATCACTTCGTAATATAAATAAAATATTTAAAAATACATTAAAATTGGAAAAAAAAATTTGAGCAAAATGCTATAAATTTTCAAAGACCACAATTGATTGATATTTTCAAATTTTATAATCAATCTGACCTTTAAAACGTCTATAATAACATTATCTCGTAGTCAGCAGCGGGGGGGGGGGGGCTTGGCAAAGTAATTAGTGTTAGTGTAATAATGCTTATTTTGCATTTTTTAAAAACTTAAATAGACCTAGGTTTTTTCGAAACTTTACAGTATCAATAGAGAGAAACAGACTGTTTTCTAGAAAAGGTCTATATATTTTGTATGGCTATTCAAAATAGATAATTTTTAAAAAATCGTATCTAAATTGTATAAAAAAAAAGAACGGAAATATTTTTTCAAAAGTCAGCACATAAAATGATAAATATTAATGGACGATTTATCTGTGGGAAGATGAAGCATTGTGGATTTTTCAAGTAAGAGCAGTACGGCAACTTAAACCGTTTTTTGGAAAATCTTACTTTTATTACTTTCTTCATTTAAATGACTAAATAATGAATTTATGTTACCTTTTGTAAGTCTCTTTGATTTACTTCTTTCTCTCTCTCCCCCCCCTCTCTCTCTCCCTCTCTCTCTGAGAGAGAGAGAGAGCCCCCCCTCTCTCTCTCCCTCTCTCTCTCTCTCTCTCTCTCTCTCTCTCTCTCTCTCTTCCTCCCTCTCTCTCTCCCTCCCTCTCTCTCTCTCCCTCTCTCTCTCTCTCTCGTTTTCTCTCTCCCCCACCCTCTCTCCCCCACCAATTGTTTGAAAAACACACACACACACACATAAAATCAATGGATTGACTTCAAATTAAACAATTATCAAAAGAAACTTTTTTACTAAAAACTAGTAGGCCGACCAAAAATTGAACTGATGTGAACATCGAAACATTTGGTGTTGTTTTTTTTTTAATGGAACAATGGTCTTCCCGGCGAATTTTGAAAGCAAATTAAATTTCCCAAAAATGTTTTCAATATTCATTAACAATATTGACTGAATAATGTCATTATAAGCTTAAGATTCCCTAGGGGCGTGGCATGGGCGCCCGCAGGTAGGGGCAATGGGGGGGCCACCTGCCCCCCCCCCCTGGATTGATTGGATACATTTTTTTTTGGACAAAAAATTTATTAAAGTAAAGAGAAAATAAAGAGAAAGTAACTAAGCTGATGTCCTGTCCGTTCGTTCACCGTACAAATACGCTACAGTAAATTAAAACTATATTAAAACATTACTAAAATAAAAAACGGGGGGGGGCTGGAAAATTAATCGATTTTTTTGCCCCCCCCCCCTAGAAAGTTTTCTGCGGGCGCCCATGGGCGTGAGGCCCCATAGCCCCTAGAGGCCCCTAGAGGCCCTGGGCCAGTGGCCAGTTTGCCCATGACTTAAGACGGCACTGCTCGTAGTAAAGTTGCAAAATCAACTTTAATTACTGTAAGGGTCGTCCATTAATTATGTCAACAAAATAGGGGGATGGTGGGGGTTTTGAAATGTTAACAATTGTTAGCAAAAAAAAAGGGGGGAGGGTAGATTAGTTGACGTCAACAATCATGTTTTCTTATTTAAAATTTGTATGCTAAAAATTGACTGGTTATTGCATTATTTAAAAAAATTTAATGAGTGTAAATTAAAATAGTTATATAATTTATAGTTATTTAAAATTTTAACTTGTTGATTGACAAGCTAAAATTTTGTATTATTAAAATTTTAATAGATCAACACAAAGTTAAATGTATTTATATATTTATTTAAATTATTTATAACTCATTTTTTTAGGGGGGGGTGGGGGTTATAGATATGTTGACATAATTACTTGGGTGGTGGGTCATTAAAAGTTTGACAGGTGTTAAGGGGTAGGGGAGGGGGTCAAAATTGCTAAAAAATTGTTGACATTAATGGTCTATATGGTCACCCTTTTAGGCTAAATAATTATTCATCCTTATCTCGATGATAAGAAATTATTTAAAATAAAATGTAAACAAATAAAATACAAGTCTTGTAAAAATATGATACAATTTATTTTTCAAAACTGGACTCAGAATATGATAATCGCTTAAAAAATTAATAGATCTAACGATTTTTAACATATATTTTTTATCCCTTTAAAAAATGGCTAAGGGACATAACTAACTAGCCAATTGTGGTCAATGCCCTCAAATAGTCATTTACGATTCATAATTAATTATGGATAACATACTAAGTGATAAACTATATATTATAAATATCAATTAAGCCATAACAGAAAAACCAATAACCTTATTGAAACTCATTGAAGTACATTTGTTAGTGAGATAAACTTGTTAAAATATTCAGTTAAAATTAAAAGTAGTCTTCTTTCGTTCCAAAGTTTAGGAATGAGATACTAAAGAAAAATAGGAAGAGCAATTGGGGGCTGAGGGGGGAGGGGTGGAAATAGGGCGATGAAGGCTTATTTCCAGGAAATACAAATTTCACCGATTTTTACAAATTCTTCTTATCGTCAGCAATAAATTTAGACGTCAGATGTCTTGCGACTTATAACTATTTTCAAATAGTCTCCCCGGCACTAAGGCACGCGATTTAATTTAATTTTTTAAATATTAGATACAATTAATTTTGTCAATTTACTAAACTATGTACAATTTACACACAAGACACAAGTAGTAGGTCTACTTTGAAGTAGGCCTTTTTACAACTACAAGATTGCCGACACTGAAGTATCCTAAACTATTGCGTGGGCGTGGGATTTACTGGGATTTCAATACTACTACTTCTACTGGTATCAGACAAGGCTGCACGGATACTGAAGGCTTAAAAAATAAACGTCTGTAAACGTGAGGTTTTATAAATCAGCTGAGTCTAAGTAAGTGGTAATCCTAAGTTTTCACATTAATAATTAATACCAAAATTATAATTTGGTGACGTAGACTTTTAATTTAAATAGACTCTTTATCTTTATGTCTTGTCACTTTTCATTATTAGTATCTTGACTAACATTTAAGCTTGACTTCCACTCACTCACAATGTTACAAAAAATTATTTGAGTTAAAATAACTTAACTTAAATTAAATAGATACTAGTACTAGATAATCTAAAACTCAAGATACTTAGACAGGCCTAATATTATTTAATATTATGCTTTTGATTTTGTTGACTGAACTCTTTGAGGTCAAACATAAAAACTAGTAATACTGGTACTTGTAACTGAGCTAGGCCTAAGTGCCACTGTAGTCTTACACTGTAGTCTGTAGACTGTAGTGGTACAATTGTTTATTCTTGTGTTCATAACTCATTCATTAAGAACTTAAAAGTCAATAAGTATAAGTTTAGTAAAGCTTATTAGGTAGGCTACAACTAAAACTTTCCAACTAGTTTTAGTAGGCCCCTTGCCCTTGGCATAGTCTCATACATACTAGACCTAGGCATTAAATAATATTTTATAAGCCATTATAGGCCTTGTCTAAGGCTCTAGTTCGTGCTGTAAATTGTACATTGTAGGGCCTAAGTATAAAAATGTTTTACGTTTACTCACTGCACTGGTAAGGGAATGTAATAAAGGCTGTTGTTACAGGTTTCGGCAGCCTTTTGCCACTTTTGGTAATAGTGTGCATAGATAGGATTAGGATTTCTAATTCATTCACGTGTCAAATACAAATATAGGCATAGTCCTATTCAATGAATCCTTATATCATAATTATATGATTAGGCCCTATTTCTCTATTATATAGAAAATAAAACTAAATCCTTGGATTATAATGAATTAGCAATAATTGAACTCAATTTAGTTTAAAATAACTTTAATCTAAATTAATTTACAAGAGCATATGAATGAACTATTAAATTAAAGTAGTAGAAACTCATAGCAAAAGTCTTCTGCTGAAATTTTCTTTTTTTAAAAACATCATTTAAATTTAATATATATTTTTTACTATTTACTGCATTTATAACTTATTTATTACTCATATTCATTACTCATATTCATTACTGTCTCTAGCTGAGTTTTATTACGCAAAGTTCTTCTTATGGGGAAAATTCATGTGCAAGAGCAACAGTATCTCCTGGTTGCGTTACTTCAAAATCAGGTAAATTTTATGTTGTTTATTATTATTATTACAGTGGTCTTATAATGCACGGTACCCCATTATTATTACCAAAGTACATAATTTGCATGAAAAAAAATGCTTTTGGTGCCCTTAGATTTTGGCACCCAGAGCCTATGCTCCCTCAGGCCCCTGATTTTCATGGCCCTGGTTTTGTGTTAAGTTGTTAAGTCTGTTCCATAATTAATGATATGAGATTAGAAATGTTTAGGGGCTGTGTAATGAGCAGTTATATTTTAACAGGAACTGCATAAGTTTGGTCATTTTTGAAGAATCGGATGAAGAAAGTTTTGTTGGGCTTTTGATTAATTTCAACAATTTTTAGTCTTATAACTAAAGGTTTTAGTAAAAGGCAGGCAGTTGATATTTTGTGCCTATAGCATCCCCAGCTTAATGGTAGCACTCCGCAAATTAGAGGGTACTTAATTTAGTAATTCCCTTTTGACACTTGCACTGCATTCTTTTAAATCTTATGATTGACACACACAAAAAATGCATTAATTTTTTTACAGATGAACAACGGTTACCTCCATTACTCGACACACAACTTTGAAGAAAGTAATGTCCACATTTATGAACTGACAAAAGGAAAACTCTGGTGGCTGGTCGTTGATTGAATTAAAGTTTGTATGTGACATTTTTAAAAAAACCATTTTGCCCTGACAGCCTAGTTAATCCCCAAAAATTTCCAACACCATTTTCAGCTCAGTTTTTTCCCCTGTTAATAAGAAAATAACTGAAATATTTTGAGGTCGCCTTCATAAGAATTTGCTGCTGAACAAATGTAAATATTGCTGTTCATCCTAAATCTGGTTAAGAATGATTATGCTTTCTTAAATCTTTGTCATCAGTTCCCAATTATAATTTATTTGTTAGCAGTATGGTATGAAAAAAAAATGTGAACATTTTGATGGTCACATTTGCCATACATAGTGTGATGATTTCCAGCACCGAGGAATACAGAAGAGACAGAGTGGCTATGAAATAATATTTTGGGTGTACAACATGTTATATTGTGTAATGGGAACCACATTTTAAGGGGGTGTGTCAATGTTGATTTCTTTTTGATTTTTTGGCCAGCAAAATATTGGCTTTAGCAATTCCACTTTCAACTACCGGTACTAATTTTGATTGGCTTGCATGTAATTATTTTAATAAGTTATATTGCATGCTTAGATACAAGTTTGTCAGTCATGGTGTGGGGAAATTATTTTTTAAAGTTCTTGTAATTTAAAAAATGAAAAGAAAAAAAAAGGAACAGATTCCCAGAAGTAACAGATTCTCAAAGTAATAGATTTTCAAAGTAATAGATTCTCAAAGTAAAAGATTCTCAAAAGTGGCTGGAATGAAGTAAAAACTTTTTGAGAATGTGCAAAAGAAATAGATTTCAGTAATAAATATAATGGTAGTTTATTTTTGTGATTATTCACATAAGTTGGGAGTATGCATGTTTGAATTAAGTTAAAGTTTAAGGTTCTCCAATCCAGTAAAATTTTATGACATTGAAGACACATATTTGTATTTAAAATACTATAATTTTATGCTTAAATGGGACATGTCTGTTAAGAAATCTAACAGAAGTGTCTTTTTTTTTTTACAGAAAAATTCTATAAGAGAAGCATCATAAACAAGTCTGGTGTTATTGCCCTAACAAACAATAAGTTGGTGCCATATTAAACATCTACTTAAGATCTCCAAGCTGTGATATAATTCTTGCGCTTTCTCTTGTTCAAGCTGCTGCATCATTCACAAACCAACCATCCTTCTTCAATAAACATTGAATTGAGAAGTTTTCAAGGGATTAAAAGAGAACTTGATTTCTTTTTATTTGGAAGGCTTGCATCAGCTTTACTATTAATCAGCATTAATATAAACAATTTTGTATTTCTTACTGCGGCTGCAGAGATTTTATAACATTCTACAACTGGAAAAAAAAAACCCACCATAACACTTCTGCAATTCTTTGTAACAGATTTAATTTATAACCTTAAAAAAAAAAAAATAAAAAAAATCTACTAAAAAATTATTTAAAGACATCAACTGGAAACTGAACTGAATGAAAAATAAGTGAACAATTTTTTATTTTACAGAATCCAATAACATAAAAAAAAAGATTTTATAACATTCTACAACTGGAAAAAAAAAAACCCACCATAACACTTCTGCAATTCTTTGTAACAGATTTAATTTATAACCTTAAAAAAAAAAAAAATAAAAAAAATCTACTAAAGAATTATTTAAAGACATCAACTGGCGACTGGACTGAATGAAAAATAAGTGAACAATTTTTTATTTTACAGAATCCAATCACTTAAAAAAAATAATAATAAAGTGTTTACAAATACATCCAAGTGCTTTTACGATCTGGAGTCTAGGGAAAGAATGTCCTCAAATATTGAGTGTTTATCTGCAAAAAAGGATTTAAAAATGATAAAACCAAAATGTGAGGGGATAGATGTCAAACAGCTGGAATTGCATGAAGTAAAGAGAAACAAATCAAGCAATACACACTTCATTGCTAAAGTGCACAGAGCGTCAAGTTTTAGTCAAGATGGACAGGATACAGATTTACTTGTAGATGCAGGTTTTTATTGGAAGAGTGAGTCTTACCTTAAACTTTACTTTATTATGATTTTGGGTCTTCTTTCCATAATTTTCAGGCAACTTTTAAAACAAAAGAGATGGCCCCTATTTGCTTCTTATCAATTTAAATACCTCTGTTTCATTAACTGTCATAAATATAGTTTTCTCAGACCTGCCAAACCTTCCGATTTTGTTGGAATTATACAGACAAACCCCTTATTCCAATTTTCCAAACATTATAATTTTTCACCCGTCATAAAAATCCAAAAGCGAATAAAAAATTTTTTTTAAAATTGGGTGCGACGGGAAGTGTTGCATTTGCTTTTACAAAGTGTCTACATGTCCGGTGACCTGAAAAATAAGTGAAGAAGTTCTCAAGATTTTCGTCCGGCTATTATATATTCGACCAAGTCACATGACCGCCATAACAAAGTTGTGCGAGATATTTGTCCATCAACTTTGTGACGTGACCGCTAACAGTCGATCAGAGTTTACAGTACGTCATTTCAACAAATTAAAGATAGTCTGGACATTTACATGAAAAAGAAATATGTTCAATTCTACTAAAGAAATACTAGAATCATTGCTGTTATTTATAATGAACAATCGGTTAAAAAGTGACAATGTTAAATAAAGTTTGATATGCCCACCGGATGAATATCTCCTGCATTATTTGTCCGGTCGCCTGACCTGTAGCCACCGCCTTGTTTTTCCAAACCGCAATCTCCAAACCATTCTTCAATCATTAATTGATCTGATCATGATTCATCCTTTTACAATACTAACAAATAATTCAAACTTTTTTTTTGTTTTTGTTTTTTGTTGAAGCTTTTCTTAATTAAATGAGAAATCTATTGAAAGTGGTTGGTACAATGATATTAATAAACATATTTTAACACAAAAAAAACCATTCAACTGAAATTAAAAGTAAAAGCAGTGATGCAGTGAATTTACGACATCCATCCATCGTCGTATCGGACGTAAGGAATTGGACGATTCAGTTATCAGATCTGAAGTTTTATTGACCACCTATTTATTGAAGTAAATATTTCTCTAGCCAACCCCGATCGTTTTAAAGCCAAAAGAGATGTTATGGGACTTGCAGTTTGCTAGAAAATTGTGAAGAAAAATTACAATGAAACAAGGGCAAGCATGAAAGTTGATACTCTTTCTAACTTGTTCGTAACTAAAATCAATTATTCCAATGCTAACCTTCAATTGTCGAAAGAGCAGTTGGACAAGTGCAAAAGGCCACTAGGGATATGCTGGAAAATTGAACTCATAGCAACCTGTATACATATGTACCGGTAATAATATGGATATTCTATTCTGTATGCTGTATATATCTGTATATAAAACATTTCCAGTAATGTTTTTCTCATGTTCTGTGGTGTTCTGTGAACTCTTCAAAGAAAAGGGAGCTAACTTTATATTTCTTTATTTACAACAAAAAAAAGGCTTGTGCATTAGTATGTAGATCTTAAACCAACGCCCCCCAGGGGGCAGTGCTCCTCCTTCCCCTCCGGCGTGCACACCTACACATTTTTTTTTCTTGGCAGGTTGGCAGTGTCTTATTTAAATAGTTTGTTACTTCCATAAATGTTTTAGTAATAGATTTTAAGAGAAAAAAAAACATTTGATTCTCCTAAAGTGTGTTAATGAAATTTGGAATTGTCCAATTTTCAATAGATAATAAATTTTATTTAATTTTATTATTATAGTGAGATAGGCAAACAGAATCAAAAGAACAATTTCATAAGGCTACACAACCTAAAGTGATTGTAACAGAATTTAATTATAATAATTATTTCCATAATCATAGCAAATTAACTGAGGAAAATAATTGCGAAAATTCCCCAGATGATGAGCTTTGCTGCTACTCATGTGATGTCAGAGTTAAAGCCCAGGAGTGTAACAAACCCTTTGATGCCCACCATGAGACGTGTGACCACATCAAATTGAAACAGATGGATGGATGTGAAATAAAGGCAGCCCAGGTAGAGCTTGTAAACTAAAACTTTGCCCTTGACCATTTAGGTTTACTCAAATAAATTTCAATGAAGCAACTTATGCAGAGAGATTTTTTAATGTGTGAACAACATATGCAGAGAGATTTATAAATATATACTAGACTATTTCAGCCATCCAAATAATAATAATAATAATAATAGTAATAAAGATTATTTAAAAATCATACTTAATCCCCAAAGACTTGAAGCATGGCACATACCACATTGAAGTACAAAATTCAACATTACAAAACTACATACAAGAATACCCATTCTAAGTCTTTCATACCTTGCAACCATAAACAACACAGGCCAACATATATCTAAAAGATAATAGCTAGATAGACAACATCACCCCAGCAGGTGTTTGCAAAAAAGACAATTCTTAAAATCAGTTTTGAAAGACTCCAGTGTGTGGCTGTTTCTGATAGCGATAGGAAGAGTGTTCCAAATTGTTGGGCCAGCAAATGCGAAAGTGCGTCCCTTGTGAGTCTCAAGACGAACACGTGGTATTGAGAGTTTGCCACTATCAGATGAGTGGCGTTGTCTAGTGGGTACATAGATGGAGCGACATACATAACAATTATAAATAACTTTGGTCATATGCAAAGACTAACTTTATTAATTAAAAACATGGAGGCCTTATCAATAAATTTTTGTAGATTAAAAACAAAGAAGATAATTTCCCCCATCTTATATTATTTTAAAATATAAATTTTCACTAAATTAAAAAAGAGCAATCTTCTTTTATGCGACCAATTAAAATGGGATATATGTAAAAATTAATAAATTGTTGAATTCTACCTAATCATCTGAATGAGATGATGCACTTTTTTTGCAGCACCACATACAATGGTTTAACTCATCCACATATTTTGTAAATTGGACATAGAAATACATCTTTATAGTGTTTGCCTACTAAAAATAAATACCATGATGTATCCATAACAATTTGCATTACGAATGATAACAAACAAATATGTTAACTTATCTGTATTATGAGCCTAATTCTAATACACTAGCCCCAAGTCAAACACTTTTGTAAGTCACTAAGTGCCATCAGATAACTTCGAACAATAAGTACTAAAGTGAATTATGGTTTTCACTAAGCTGCATGGCTATACTCAGGCGGCGCTATTCCCCATGGCGATGTGCCACTAATTTTTGGAATGATAAACAGACAATATTGAAAACTTGTAACCCTTTTTTTTATTTACTCTAACTTCATAATAGTCTATTATTTTCTATTTTTGTTTTTAGTTGGGGGGTGGGGTTGTGTGTATATCCTTGCAACCTGGGGGCGGGTGTTACATTCTGTTATAATATGGTTTAATTTGTTAAAAGATTTGGCTCACTGAATGAACAATAGGTTACAAAGGACTTAAAAAACCAGTATACAAAGAAAAACAATACCCAAGCTAGTGATAGTGACAATATTCAATTTAATTATACTTTAAATTTCTATAAAAATGCTAATTAAAATATACAGAAGCAAAGAAAAATTTTAAGCAAGTTAGAGAAATACAAATATTAATTTACACACACCATAAAAAGTACAATATTGCGATTATATAATGCTCGTATATGTCAAGGAAAATTTGCAAAAACCTCTCTGAGTTAGGAATGCTGCCAGCCTAAATACGAGGAATAAATTAGAGCCATCCAGAAAAGAAATACTCGAAATTTGGGTCATCTGATAGCATTCTTTAGAAAAAATAGAATGTATTTGAATGTAAACAACATTACCCATTCAAGGGAGGGGTGGATAAAAGGAGTAGCACAGCCTATTCGATTGATGACATCAATAACAAAACAAAGGGGTGATGGTTATTCCATAACAGAGGGGGTTGAAATTATAATGCACATACTATATGGATGGCCCCTTATAAAACATTTAAATCTAAAAATAGACATTCTTTTTTTTTTTTTTAAACTAAATAAATAGTATTTATAATTCATATCTCAATTAAAAGTTGTTCTTGAGACCAGTCTACCCCCTCCTCTTTATACCATGCACCCCCACACCCACCCCCTTTCACATTAATTTTATCTGGTCAAAGTTGATTTACTTTTCTTCTTGTGTCTCCTATTTCCATTTATTAAAATTCTTTATTAAGTTGTTTTTTGTGTGTTTTTTTTTTATTATCCAGGATGATTTTCTTAAACGTCAGCCAGAAGGTGACCCAGAAGGTGACGTATATTTATTTACTATTAATTTTTATGTAATTATTGATAGTAAAAAATTAATGATTCTTTATTTTTCAAAAATGAACCTCATTTTATCAAAAGAACAGCAACATGTTGTAACAGCCATGTTGTCAACAAAACAAAACCATAGTGTTAATTTTATACATAATTTTTTACATAAGCATTTTCTTATTAAGTTGGTATTTATGAGAGTTATGTGTAACAGAACAATATTTTATATTTAATTACTCTGGTAAGAGAAAAATATATTGCATTTAATTTTTTCAGTGAGAACAAAATTTAAAATCAAAATAACATTTCCAATTGAATTTAAAAAGCAATAAAATAAGAAATAAAAGAGTGCTATCTGTCTTTAAACAAAACTTTAAGAATGTTTATTTGTGTCATATATGGTAACAGCTGATCACGAATGCCTCAAGTGCAAGACAAAGTGGCGTGTGATACTCTATACTGGCTGTGGGCACCTAGTCCTCTGCACAGACTGTTTCCTAGAAGAGCTACACTCAGATCCTAAACCAGACACAGATTCAGCAGCTCAAGACAACTCCATACCAGATGGAGCAAGTCCTCCATCGCCTTTACAGGACACTGCAGAACCAGAAAATCATTTCATCATCTGTCCTCTGGAAAATTGTCAGAGACGATCATATTACTACATAAGGGTTAAAAGGAACTGACATTTTCTTGTAATTTTTCTATTGTTTGTTTTTGAGGGGATGTGGGTTGGGGGTAAGGGGGGATGTTCTTAAACTTTTTAATCAGAGGGCTGGTTCTGGTTGTGGGTGAAATAGCAAAACGAGGTATGTGTGAAGCTTGAATAAGATAACAGGACAAAAAACAAGGACGTTGCATTTCGGCATAAAGCCTTCCTCAGCCAATAGTAGAAATGAAAATATAACAAAGAATAGAGCACAGTAGACAACTCAAGAAGTATCCATTCGTGTCGCCATACCTAATAGTCATCTAAATAGGGCCTTTTTATCTTTTACGAGATGATGGCCGAATGAGGGGGCATGATTTCTGATATGTTTTAAAAACAATGATACAGATACTACACGAATGGATACTTTATGCTGAAACGTCCTTGTTTTTTGTCCTGTTATCTTATTCAAGCTTCACACATACCTCGTTTTGCTATTTCATTCATTTACTAAGCTTGAAAGCAGTCCTTTCATTTATATTTTCTGGTCGTGGGGCCTGGCTATAGTTAAACAATATTAATAAATTCCTATGCACTCTGCATATCTTATTGATAGTGCCAAAAGCACCAAAAAAAAAAACAACATTAATATAAATTGAAGAACAACTTTATTCAATATAAACTTTTTAGTATTTAAATGGTAAGTGTGGGCATGCATTTGGCTAAAGAGGTGGTCAACATCCTGTTCCATATCAGACACCCCTCTCCTAGTACCAGTGTGACAGCCAGGCGGGTTAGGTTAGGGACCTCGATGGGCCAAGCGTGCCATAGTTTTAGGACCCCTGTCTTTGAGTTTTACAAGCAGCTTGTTGATAGATGATCAAAGATTAACCTAATTGGGGCTTACTCAATTAGCCTCTAGTAGTTCTTGCAGTTATGCATCCTGAATCAAACGATATAGAGGGGCAAAGAGTTTTTAAAGTATGCAGGCCTAACTGATAAATTATGATTTTTATACAAAAATAATTAGGATGTACTAGGAAGTTATGAAGTTGAACAGTACTTGATATATTTCTTTCTTGACTTTTTTTTTTTTTTTTTGCAAAGAAAAATATAAAATTGATATTTATAAAATTAGAAAGAATACAATAAAAAAAAGTTTAAAAAAAAAAACTAAAATTAATTTTTTTTTTTTTTTTTTTTTTTTTTTTTTTGCAAAGAAAAATATAAAATTGATATTTATAAAATTAGAAAGAATACAATAAAAAAAAGTTTAAAAAAAATAACTGAAATTATGAAATAGTGACCAGTATATTGAGTACTGAGTTCGCGTTTGCGAACGTGGCCGAACGCCTCTAGACCACTGAGCAACACCACCGACGGTGGTGCCACATGGGATTTTGCCTCTTCGTGGCGTGGATGACTAGTAGGGGGGGTAATCCCCCGAAGCTAAAAAATCCCTACTCACTTGCATGACTTCCAACGCAACGGAAGGCTCGCACTAACATGATTACTGTTGCTGTTGATGGGTATGAGGCAATGGGTGGCAGCCCAAACCCTCGCCAATGATTAAAAAGACGCGGCCCTGAGAAAGCTGCCCTGGGCGACCATTTCGTCCCCGGCTCTGGCTCCTGTAGGGGAGTGCCGGGGGGTATTATGAGTGCAAACTCGACGATCCAGCGACACCATCTCCAAAGTGACATTATAGTACTGATTTCTACATAGTGGTAAATCTGCCCAAGGTTTTCCAGAGAAGTTTCCACCAAAAAAAGAATGTCAACCATTAAACTAAGTTCACACCCCCCCTTCCCCCAACCCCAATGGTTTCACAATCTGTTTAGGATGGATCGACCATCATCTCGTAAAAGATAAGAAGGCCCTATTTAGATGACTATTAGTTATGATGACTTATAGTATTTGAGAATCTTTTAAAAATTCTCCATGTAAGTGCTCTTATACTAATACAAACTTCATTGCCCCTCAATAGTGGGATGGATCAACAAGTTTACTAAAGTTACTTGACAAAACATTATTTTTTTTATTACTATGCGTGTATTTTTTATCATTTAAAAAGGCAGGAATAAAAACAGATTTCAAATAATTTTTTTTAATTAGAATTTATTTTATTTATTTATTTTTTTGTGTGTGATTATAAACAAGTGAGTAATTTTTGTAAGCTATAGTACTTAAAATTTGTTTTTTTATATCTATTAAAATATTTATTAGATTTCATATATTTCAAAGCAGTCATTTTAATTGTATATCTTATAAGTATTAGCTATTTTTTAAAATAAATATATATTATTATTTATCATAATAGTATCGTCAAAGTTCTCAGGAAAACTACATTTTTGTAGATAATTTTCGTCCCATTTTTCAGTTGGTATGATATATAAATGTACACTTTTAGTTGAGTTATCTCCTTTTGTGTGACAAGATGGCCAATCAGTTTTTATCAAATCCCATTGTGAAAACACTTTTTAGTGTACTTTTAGGTCACTAAAATGCAACCTTTTAGAGCAGGAATGGATTGTTTAACAAAATGACTTCTGAAGCCTTTTATTTTTTCTTTGACATATTTTTTGCTTGGACAGAAGATCCAACAGGCTTTGATTCGTAAAGAGTAAATTTTGTATGTAAAATGATGACTATGTATAATTCAAAATTAAATTGATTGTTATAGGACACTTGTGAGGTTTCATATGTATTATTTGCTGAAGAAATGTCAACTTGCATTTTTTAATTTTAATGCTTCCATCTTTTGGTCTACTAATTCTGTGGGGTATAATGAAATCCTTAATTTATTTGTAAGAACTAAAATGTTACTTCACCACATGTCATGAACTACTTGTTGTTGTTTTAGCTCAAATATTTGATCACAATAGTTGTATAGTTGGCTAAAACTAATTGGACAGAATTTGTTTTTATTTTTTCTTCCATTATTGGAGAAGTAAGACAAAATAAATTAAATAGACTGATGAAAGGCATCAAACAAAAAAATGTTTAACTTCCAATTCCTTCGTCTTATACAAAAAGTAAACAATTATCAAAGGCATCGAATCCTTCAAACTAATTTTTTTTTTTTATGGTTACAAAAATTCCCTTATTTCCTAGCATTACCTAATGTCCCAGTTTTCTGGGGTTTTTTCTTTTTTTTTGTTTATGTGTGAGGGGGGGGGGAGAGGAGAGGGGAGCGTATTTTATTGACAAACTCTACATAAAAAATAAATTTTGTTATAAAAAATGAAGATGGGAACATTGTGGAAACATTTTAAATAGAATGACACAAACTACACTCATGTTACTTTTTATTATGGTAATAAGCCGGAGTGACTGCATTCAGTATTTTTTTGCGTTCCCTTTTTTCATGTTTTCCCATTCTTTGTTTGACTCATTTCCTAATTTTTATTGCATTTCTGAGTTGTGGCCCATGTCTATGTCCTCAATAAATTTTTAAATTCATGGCATATTTTCTTTTTATTGATTGCCACACAATTATGACAACATACTGACAATCATTTCCCTCAGATGATCGTTTTTAGTGTACCGTTTGTATCATTGTTTTTAAAACATATCAGAAATCATGTCCCCCTCATATGTTTTGTGGTCCACCATCTACTATTTTTGTCCACTTTATCCCATGATGTTTTCTGGATGTGATTGTGAGGAAGCCAGGGACAACAGCCGTTTGGCATTATAAGTTATCTTACCCTAATTATTCACAGGACGAACCTGGCCTTCAAAGTGAGTTAAATCCTCCGTCACAGTATATATAAATTTTTTCCGTAGCGAGGACAATATTTTGAAATAGAAATAGTGACATGACTTGATTGATCCGTTGCCTTATGGCAGTGATATGAATTTAAAGGGGAGGATTCATTTTTTTTTTTTTTCATATGAACTCTATCAATCTATGTCCCTCAACTTTATCCAGATTGTAAATATATTTGGTGATGACTTATCTCTGAGATAATGTAGCACCAGTCTTCCCATTTCCTACCAGAAATAAGCTGCACAGGCTGATTCTGATGGAATGCATGTGTCTTTCGTGAGTGACAATGTATGAAAGTTTAAATTGTGATTTCTAGGTGTTTCAAATGAATGTAATCATGCACACATAAATTGTACACACTAGTTTTTATACTAACAATGAATGACAATCTTCGCCATATATTTTTTTCACGTAATGTTATATTTTTGTATAATTGACACTTGGCTTGATTTCCGGAATGGTTTTATGGAATAAAGCTCTGGGTTGGCCAAAGTGTTTACATTTCTGTTTGTGGGCACAATGAGCCAGCAACATTGGCAGTATGTGGGCACAATGAGCCAGCAACATTGGCAGTATGTGGGCACAATGAGCCAGCAACATTGGCAGTATGTGGGCACAATGAGCCAGCAACATTGGCAGTATGTGGGCACAATGAGCCAGCAACAGTGGCTGTGTGTGGGCACAATGAGCCAGCAACAGTGGCTGTGTGTGGGCACAATGAGCCAGCAACAGTGGCTGTGTGTGGGCACAATGAGCCAGCAACAGTGGCTGTGTGTGGGCACAATGAGCCAGCAACATTGGCAGTATGTGGGCACAATGAGCCAGCAACATTGGCAGTATGTGGGCACAATGAGCCAGCAACATTGGCAGTGTGTGGGCACAATGAGCCAGCAACAGTGGCAGTGTGTGGGCACAATGAGCCAGCAACAGTAGCTGTATGTGGGCACAATGAGCCAGCAACATTGGCAGTATGTGGGCACAAGGAGCCAGCAACATTGGCAGTATGTGGGCACAATGAGCCAGCAACATTGGCAGTATGTGGGCACAATGAGCCAGCAACATTGGCTGTGTGTGGGCACAATGAGCCAGCAACAGTGGCTGTGTGTGGGCACAACAGCAACAGTGGCGGTATGTGGGCATATTGTGCCAGCAGCAGAGGCTGGGTGTGGGCACAATGAGCCAGCAGCAGTGGCTGTGTGTGGGCACAATGAGCCAGCAACATTGGCTGTAAGTGGGCACAGTGAGCCATCAACATTGGCTGTAAGTGGGCACAGTGAGCCAGCAACATTGGCTGTAAGTGGGCACAGTGAGCCAGCAACATTGGCTGTAAGTGGGCACAGTGAGCCACCAACATTGGCTTAAGTAGGCACAATGAGCAAGCAACATTGGCTGTAAGTAGGCACAGTGAGCCAGCAACATTGACTGTATGTGGAGTTGATCTCTGCTCTTTGTCTTGTGTTGTAATTAAGAAAATCAAGTCCTGTGAGTCGAGTCACTATGTAAAATGTTGCTATTGTTGACAATATTCTATTTCTATTATTGCAATATAAAAAAAGAAATAATGCTTAAAATAAAATGTGTCTCATGCTAAGTTATACTGACCCATTGTCAAAATAAATGGTAGAGTCCTGATGTTAATGATCAGTTGATTTCTTAAGCATTAAGTCGTGTGTGTGCATCAGAATTATTAGAAACCTTATGATAATCTAAGCGACAGTCAAGCTTGTAATCTGATGTCTTCTAATCGTCTATACATCCAACAGTCAGTGCTGAAATTCCATGAATAGCCCACCAACCCCTAGACAGAATGGAAAGATCAATATTTATTTTCAGTCAGGTCAGTAACCCGTTTTCTTTCAAAATTAAATTTGGGGTCATCCCCATGCAGGGTCGTCTTTACAGCAGCGGAGGCCCGGGGGGGGGGGGCACAGTAATGCACTGAGGTCCTATCCCTCTTTATACTCAGAGAGCGGCAAAATCGTCTTAAGACAGGCCTTCATTTTTTAATTTATTTTTCCGATTCATATCTAGGAGAGAAAAAACACTTGTTGACGAGAGTTCTTCCCTTTAAAAGAAGTGTCCACCTTGTGATTGGCATTTATAATATTAATTTTGGAATGTGCGCTCCTAGAAGCGTGAGTACCCCTAGTAGCGTGAGGCCCCATAGAAGCGTCAGGGCCCACTAGTAGCGTGAGGCCCCATAGAAGCGTCAGGGCCCACCAGGAGCGTGAGGTCCAGTGTGCCCATGCCTTCAGACGGCACTGGTCATCCCGGGAATACCTCTAG